CTTAGTTACTCAAGCATATGTCCACACAACTGCCTGACTGAAGATGTCCATCTACCACCTGCATTCCCAAGCCAGCTTAGTTTATAGAATTATTTCTGGGGGGCGGGGGTTGGTCATTTTTGGATGTTTCATTAGGGTTATGCGTTGAAAATACACCCCACAATATTTTAAACATTTTATAACTATGCAGTACAAGATTAAATTCATATCTCAGCTATGAGTGTTCAACACCCATGCATATCAGTGGAGTGTTGTCTACATTTTCAATAATGAAATGTGTTTGCTATACATTTATTTTTGAAAATACGGTTTAAGTTCTGCAGAGAACATAAGCTGTGGAAAACCAAAGCCTTTCTGAAAAATGGATGAAAATGCCCCAGAGAAAATTTGGAAACATTCACAATTTTCACTATGGCACAATTTCATCACATTCTTTTAAAACACAGTAGGAGAAAGATAAATTTCATCTTGAATCGCTTTTGCTATCGTACACCATTTTCCCTACCAATTTTATGTGCAGCTTGGTCCTCTTTCCATCCATCCAAATCTAGCCATCTATAGGGCTATAGATATAGCTTATCTGATGTGCACTTACAGTTCATGTACATATAACTATCACTTCCAATTTCTGAGCACCGGTCAGTTACTAGTAGCCAATTCTAAAATATCGCATCAGAAGCATGTTAAGGTGATGGAAATGTGAGATAGAAGAACCGATCAGGGCAGCTATTCCATTCTTCAGGAGGACTCATGCTGGATTTCTGTGTCCTTTAACTTCCACTAGGTGCTAAATAAAGAGAGTGACTCATTTAATTATCCTTTGAGGCAACAAATTCCACTTCAGGTGAAGTGTAAGTATTAGGTTTTTTGTGTTTTATTCAGGATCGCTTCAGAGGTTTGGGATCTTGGTAGGCTGATTTCAAATAGCTTTCAAATAATTTCCTCCAAAAAACCCTGACATGCCACAATGGCTCAGTTAGAAGTATAACAATGTTGAGTGAATGAGTCAGATAAAACCTTTCCCTGAATTTTATAGACTGATATCCTATTCAGGCCCTTCAAAATGCAAATGGCTTTTTTCATATCCCCAACAAACATACAAAGAGTAAGCTTTCTCAATCAACCCATTTACTTCACACAGATGAAGAAGTTCATTACCAATGTGAAGCTAAAGGAATCCTCTTAAAGGTGATTTTGACTTTGTTTAAAAGCTAGCAGGCTGTGAAAACAAACACCAAATATCTACTGTTTTTATGAAGTTGTAAAAATACCAGTAGGATGATGATCCAATTCTGAGAGTACCAGGAAAGTGAAATATATTTCTTGTACTAGATAAGTGTCTAGTGGTTTTCAAAATGATTGAGATCCATCATCTTTATCTCATCATGATTCACCATTCAAACAATAAATGTTCTGCCAAACTCAGTTGACAAATACCCTAACAACACTGTTGCCAGTAGTGTTTCTTAAACAACACCAGTGCATTTTTTAAAAATACATTCTTGTATTCTAAACTCTTCCAGACATTTTAAACTCTGAACAACTTTTCAGTACTTCACTGGCATCAACTATTTGAAGGCTTAGTTGAACTCAGTATCAAATGACTTGGGGAGGATATCACCAGATCATAGGATTTCATAAAAGTTGTTCAAACATGATGTTAACTTTGCTGATCTTGAAAGCTGTCATGAAAATAACTTTTCTATTTTGAGTGAAGCTACCTAAAAATAAGCCCCACACAAGAACAATCTTTCTGATGAAAGTAGGAAATAAGTGGATAATGGTTTAAAATATACAAAGGAGTGCTGATTAACATACTAGAGTGTGATTGGAGAAAGAATCTAATGTTTCTTTTTTGTTGAGAATTTCCACAAACACAGACACACACATATATACACACAACTTGAATAAAGATGTATATTTTGCACTAAATTAAGAAGTAAGAAGGTAAGAATTGTCATTTACTGGGTCAGACCACAGGTCCATCATGCACAGTAACCTGTGTCACTCAGTGGCAGGAAATAGATACTGAAAAGGAGACTGAATTAGATATGAAGTATTATTAGAAGTATTGTTGATACTTCATTATGTTGACCTGTTTTATTGCCATTTTTTGTATTATAATAAAATCTTAGAGTCCCCAATTTATTAAGAGCTCTAGTACGCTAAGCTCTGCTTAGACGCACAAAATGAAAAAGTGCTTGCCCAAAGAGGTTAGACTCAGATCCTGCAAATACATATTCATGAGTTTAATTCCAAATTTTGACTAGTGCATCTAACTTTAATGGGAATATTTTGAGTAGGGAAGTGAAACATGCACCCAAGCGTTTGCAAAAATCAGAGCCTACACAGACAAGACAAACAAAGGGTGTGAAGAAAAATGGATGAAGTGACTTGCCCGGGATTATAGTCTGTCAGTCTCAGACATAGAAACACAACACAGATCTCCATAGACTCAGTCTAATGCCGGGTCTGCTAAATGAATGCTGCCTCTTCAAAATGTCCATTACATTAAAAACACCTTAAGAAAAACTTTTAAATGGATGTTTGCATTTACAATTCAGAAATTAACCACCTAAAACTTGACTTTCATGTGTCCACAATTTTTTCATGAGCATAGTTTAGAGGCAATTTTAGAGAGGTTGGCTTCACACACCACAGTAATATAGCCTACACAGATTTGTTAGAGTGAAACTAATTAGAAACTGTTTTCCCAATGAAGTTTAAAGAATGAGATCTCAGATACATTATTCACCTTTAGCACTTTTAGTCATTTATTCCATACTGTCCTCAAACACACAGAAGGTACTCTAATATTAAATTTAACAAATTATAGGTAATTATTTCTGATAGGTCATTCCTCTTTATTATGGAGAAAAATAATTTGGTTTCTTTTCTTATAAGTCTACAGAATAAGAACAGTCCAACAACAGATGCAGGCTTCCATGTCTGGAAAGGGTTGGGAATCCCATGTTTTGACAGTTTTTGATATTTCAAAGCCAACAAAACTTAGAGATTACACAAAAGAACAAAAAGTCATTTGACATAGGAGTCCTGACAGTTAATACAGGGATACTTTGCAGCTCCCTAAACCATTTAATACTGTGTTCAACTAAGCCTCCAAGCAATCAAAGCCAGTGAAACAAATGAGAAACTGTTGCAGGAAGTGAAAAGCGCCATGGCCCAGATAAGCAGTTCACCTTTGAGCCATATATTTTCTGTTGTCTCCTAAAATATAATCTCCAAGCTCTAAAGACCTTGAAGCAATGCTCAACTGTTATGGGATAAGATATAGGTTTCTGTTCCATCTTCCTTCTATTTCTTGTTTGACATTTTTTATTATTATTATTTTGGGGATGCTTGATGACCTAGGTTCAGGATACTTAAAAAAAAAACCCTTAAAGCTCCAGAATGAGCACCATAATCAACAACTTTGCTTTTTTGGCATGATGGAACTCTTCCATAAAAGAAAAGTTTTTCTGTGTGGAATAAATACCATCCTGGGAACCAGCTCAAAACACTTAAATGATTTGAGGAAGTAAAGACCATTACAACCTTACATCAGGTCCCATTCAAAGTGCAGGGCGTATTTTGCTGACATGTCTTCTCTAACAAACACAGAAAAACATCAGTATTGAAAAAGATAACCAACCAAAACAAGACTCAGCTGTACACATTACTGTCTTTTGGTGACAAGATGAAAACATAGACAAACCACATGTAACAAATTTAAGTCAGTAAGTCAAGTTGCTTCAGTCAATATGGAGCAGCACTCATCTTATATTGTATGAGAACATATAGAGAATAGAAAAGAATTCAGTGACATTGGAATAGGATTGACAAGCAAGTCAATTGGCCAGTCAAATATTGTCAATTGACTGTATATTTTTGACCTGTCAAATATTATAGTATTTTACTAAAAAAAGCCCCAACCCCCCCTACATTTGTTTGTAGTTTTCATGACAGATATTTTTTTTTCATTTTTTACACATTTCTTAATGGAAAAATTGTGCCTTTTTCTGTGTATTATTGGACGTATTGGCATTTTTAAACCATTTTGACTAATATTTGACTGAAGTGTATTTGACTATTCAAATACCCAACCCTACATTGAGAAGAGGGTAAAAGAAAAAAAAACCTAGAAGAGTAAGAAAAATGTAGACTGCAGTTTAAGAAAGTATATAGCAAAGGCCCAAATACAAGACATGTCACTTAAAATGGGGAGTAGCTTCATAAATGTACACCTTTGTTAGAGTTCTAAAAGAAGCTGACATAGAACTGTTTTATCAAAAAATATGATAGCTTTTATGTACCAGTAAATTCCTGGCCTGGCATCAACATAACTATGATTGTTTTGCCCATCACATTCATAGAATGCGCTTGTTTTCCAGTGCATTGGATCTTAATCTAGTTACAAGCAGACAGGCTTTCAAATAAAGCATACAATCAGCAGTAATTAACACCTTGTTAGTAACCTTGTCACAGAGGGTGAAGACAAAAAGGTGAGAAAGGTCTAAATGATCCAATCATCCCCAACAGTGACCTTTGTAGAAGATGATGAAGGAACTTGGGTAGGTCAGCTGGGGAAGACACTTACTGCCAGTCCTTTTCCATGAAAAAGGACAACAATTTTCAAATTTGTCAAACTGACATCTTTCTGGAACACTACAGTCACTTCACATTTATTACTTTGGAATTTACATTTGTGAAAATGGGCCTCTAATGCTGGGAAGTTCAAAACATGGTGAGACAGCAGTGCCCCCTCTCTTCTTTTTTACAGCTGGTCATACTTAAATGCACTTTAATTGTCTATAAATCTGATCAGAGACATACTGGGTCCAATTCTCAGCTTCTGTGAATCAACAAGGCTCCATTGATATCTATGAAGTTAATGGCAAGCGACACTCCTGGATAGCTGGCCTACAGTACATAAAGTATCCATTACTTATATCCTTCTGCCCAATCACAGACAAAAAATTGCATTGATCAGAAGTACTTACTGCAGTTCTCAGCCTTTTTATTTCGGTGGATCACTGTCTTTTGGTTGGGTGTGCTGAAAAGGCTGCTCCAGTTGACTGTATGGTAGTAACACAGATTACTGTTGTCAGTTATGTAGATGTTGCCTGCACTGATTTGCTTCAAGGACTGGAACTGTAGAGAAGTAATCCCCTGCTGCTTGAGGATAAGTAAGGAAAGGCCACTGGGAAAGAAACATAAATACAAGTGCATTAGCCCTGGAATGTGGAATTTAAGTTACCTGGGTCTTTTCCATTAGAATGGTTTTAAATGTATAGTTTTGAAAAATACACATTTTCTATAAAACATTTTTCTTCAATTTTTTTTTTGAAAATTCCATTATTTGTTCAAGAAAAATCAAAATGATAGCCTCCCCAAAATCTCATTTGGAAGGCACTTTTCAATTACATTTTCTGCCTTTAGAGATAAAATAAAATTGACAACAGTAACCTGTGCTGTCAGTGGACAAGCAAAAACCAAGTGCGCCAGTACTCCAAAAACAATTTATGTAGACTAGTTGTCACAAAACAATTTGTAGATTTTGGCTTTTCTTTCTGAGTGGGGAGGGGGATGTTCTTTCCAAAAACATTACATTTTTCACAGGAAGGGATTTCTGAACAGCTCTAGAATTCATCTTAATTGTAAAATGATCATTATATATCTCATTTGAAAAATGAATTAAAAAAATAACTCAAAAAGGGAATTTAGTTTCAATTGCTGTCAATATCATTCATATGCAACATGTTTTAAAGATTCAAAGGACTTCAAGTATAGTTACATGACCATGGAGAACTGAATGAATACATAGAACACTTAGTTTGAGGGTGCAAACAGACATAACAGTTGAACCATTGCAAGCATATCACTGATTGGGAAAGGTTTCACAATTGTCCCTGGACAGAAGTGTCCACACATACACTACTAAGGGTTTTAAGTAGAAACCTCCTCTTTTAGGGACTGTATTGCTCCCAAAATGCCACCAGAAGGTGGTAGAGTACTCAGACAAGCATGACTTCCAGGAATCAATGAATTTCCCCAGAATTCCTCTAGAAGGGGAGGAAGACCTTGCTTGGGGCATGGAGTTGGAGTGGAGTGGAGTGGTTGCCTGGACACCTGTGTGCAAGTCTGAGGGGGGCTGGATTTTCTGGGGTCCCTCGAGAACTCTTCCGTTTTTTCCAACCACTCAGTTACCTTTCATTGCCAGCAACTGCATAGAGATGTGTGTGTAGGGTGGAACCTGCTGGGCAGGGCCGGCTGCAAAAGCACAGCACAGGGTTCAGGAACAATTAACAGTTAATGGACCACTTCATTTCAAACTGAGCATGGAAATGGGTTCTAGTATGTGTCCATTGTGCAATGGTTCTTCTCCCCCTACACCCACAGCTTTAAGTTTCCATTGGGCAGGACTCTAGTTCCCCACCATCACCACCCAGCAGGGGTTTACTGTTACAGGCACAACCATCCATCCACCACAAGCAGAGGGCTACAAAGACCCTCCCTCTAGAATCTGTCTTCCTCTCCCCACCAAATAAGCTTGGACCTCCTGCCCAGGATCCCTAGCATTGATACGGTAGTGAAATTGAAACAGGCCTTGTGCTTTCCCCATCCCTGCACACTGTGGTCTCTATAAGCAATAGATCTTTGGGCAGCAGCGTCCTGGCTAAATCACAGAGCAACTCCATTGCCCTGCAAGGGCTCGGGAGTGGAGAGTGAGGAGCTGGGTGGCTAACTAGTCATGGAATGCTCTGTGTCCATGCATAGCAATGAACCAGTTCAAGGAGGACTGGCTCAGAAAAGTACTTGATTTTACCAGCATGCTTTGTAACATTCTGGGAAGTTTTAAGTGGTCTAAAGTGGCCTGAGCATCCGGACTCTTGGGATTTAAAGTATATTTAGAACATTCTAAGCATTACATTTGTCCACACCCTGAGACGACAAAGGAGTCATGCCAATTTGTCTACTGGAACGTGACAGTGTTGTAAGATTAAGGTAAGAGAAGATAACAGGATAAGGATGTTCATGCCACTACTGTCATTGGATGTTTGTAGCAGCTACTGAACAAAGTCATACAAGCTATAGTTTCATCTGTTTTCACTATTTAAATTTACAGTGCTATGCTCATAAGTATAAAAAAATAAGAGGTACTGGGGAGATTAATCTTGGGCTAGATTATAAACAAAGGAGAGAATGGTAGAAGAATGATATGGAAAATGGATTTAAGTCTTCTTTTCAGGTCAGATTAAAAGTCTTATTTCTTCCAATAATATTGTAAGCTTTAATGAAACACCTCCAGCCTGCCATTAAATACTTTTTTCTTATATCACAGTATCTTGTTGTCTCACTTCTTTCTCATAGCAAGAGTAAGTCTTCACCTGTACAATGTAGATATGCCTTTGCATATTATTTTATGGATGCAAATGAATGAAGCCAAAATCCCTTTTCTGAGTATTATCTACTTTTTTTGGATGATTATAATTGTTTTCTAGCTATTCTAAATAAAAATCACTGCTTCAAAAACTGGATACAGGGCTGTAATTCAATCTCAAGGTTTCACTGCCTATTCATAATCTACGTGGGCCGTTGTTTACGATGTCAGCAGAATCCCTTGACGGATATACAACATTTTGTGCAATTGGGAATGAGAGGCTACTGTATATATCATACAGATATATTGTTTCATTTCCCCATTATTTCTCACCATATTTTCTTCCCTCTAACACTGACTTCTCCATATCAGCTTTCATATCAAAATACCACTTGTAAAAGTAGAACTAGCTAGCTATTGCAAGTCCCATATGCAAGTACAGGCATTTCAGTGATCATTCTTGCATTTTACTTCTATTATATTTAGGAAGCAAGATGTACAATATTATGCATGCATTAGGAAATTCAAATAGAATCTGAGCTAACATATTCAAATGTGGGTTTAGCTTATGCTAAAACATTACTGAATGGTAGATTATGAGTGATACCAAATTAGTGATACCAATTAACACGTGAAAGATTTAAAACATGACTGATAGACTGGGCACACTGCACATTCCTTCATTAACAGTAAATTTTGGACAACAAATTTATTTTCTGGTGGAAAATCTTAAGCTATCATTTTGAAATCAATAAAATCAATAGGGGCAGGAACTGTATATATGTAACTAGTATTAAGTGGAAAACTAGTTAAAGTTTATAATTAAACTGGTCTTCTTGAGGGATTTTATTCTCTATGGTATTTATATTATAATATTTAAATAGTAATAGCACAGTATAAATCATTACATTAATAGAGAAAGGCAAATCTTACCTGTAAAGGGCTCTCCCGCCTATGGTTACCAAGTTAGAAAACACTCTGAAATCTGTCATGTTTTCAGGCCATGACTGTATATTCAGGTAACCTAAGGAAATAAAATCAGAAATGTCCCATCATCTCAGCCATTGAGGCTACTTTATTGTGTACTTGAATTATGGTAGATTATTCCATAATAAAGAGAGAACAAAGGTCTGGAAAGCAGAATACATAAGTAATGAAAAATATGGGACACCAGCTTTGAAGTAAGACATGGCAGTGCAGTCTTCTCCCACATAACAAAGGGACTGTACATAAGTTGTTTTAGGAAATTCAGACCTAGTCCAAAGCCAAACTTAGGGCAAAGTGGAGAAACACAGTCAGTTCATATTTCCTCAACTCCCCACCTTTTTCTAGTCTAAGGCAGTGGACAGAATCAAATTTTCTAGGAATTGAAGTTGCTGGGATTTGTTAATGTGTGGATTTAGTATTTTTTATCTATAGGGAAACTGAGTAAAATAACCAAACTTTGAAATGACTGAGAATTTAAATTTGTGACATCATAACTTCTGCAGCCCTCAACCGTATAATTTTTTGAGGGACTTGGACTGTCAGGTGCATGGATCACCAGGGATTGAGTGGTATCCTAGCTTTACTAGTATACTACCTAGTAGAAGTGCCTTGCAGATCAGGAAGAAGCAGCATCTCACAGGCACCACACATGGCACCATGGTTCATTATCACCCTGATTCAACAAAGCCCTTAAAGACATGTCTAACTCCAAGCATAAGGCTGTGGGCAGGTGTTTAATCACACTGCTGCAACTTGCTAGGAAATCTGAAGTGCTAGGGAAATGTGGCAAAAAGGAGGGCATACAGACATTCCAGTCCCTTGGCTAGAGAGTTACAAAGTCACCTTAAATCCAAGATCTCCAGCCAGAGGGTAATAGGGAGCTGCTCCTTGGGTAGTTCTGCCCCAGGGGAGCCTGATAATTGACCGTCTGCCCTCTTCTCAGTTAGGGGAGGAGGCAGGATGTCAGTGAACAAATGGTAGGTGCTAAAAAGCAGCAGCTATCAAGGACAGCTCCTTGCCCTGCAGGGCCTACTCAGGCCAAAACTGCTCTCCTCCCCCACCAGAGCCCCAGTTCTTACCAGGTTCTAGCAGTGGTGGCACGAACTCCCTCACCCTAACCCTAATCCCACCCTTGGCAGATCAACAAAGAGGGCAGATGGGAAGCAGGGGGAAGCTGGGGGAATTCCTACTACCACCTGAACAGTCCAGGGATGGTTCAAGCTGTGGTGGGAATTAGCATCTCCAGTGGCCTTCCATCTTTCTGACATGTAGCCAGGACTTCCTCTCCTACCTAGTAATCAGTAGGGACCTATCCAAATCAAGGTGGTAGATGGGAGATTTTGCGGGCTGACCATGGCACCAGCCACCATTTTCACGGACTTATCACAAAGCCTGTCCCCCATGCCTCTGATTGGCCAAGGGTCCTGGTGGCCATGCCCCTTCCTGCTGATTGACCAAGAGGGCAGTCTGTCATGCAGCCCCACCACTCATCACTGACTGGCCTAGAAGGCTGCCCATTGTGTAGCCCTTGTGGTAGGCAGGAGTGGGGCCACATGACAGGTATCTCTCTCTGCCAGGCAGTGGCAAGTGGCAGGGGGTGGCCACCACCTTGACTCCTCCCTTTTGTACTGGCAGCTCCCCCCTACACCCTAGTAGGCTGCAAGGCCAGGCCACAATAGCTACGAGAACTGCTGGCTCCCACGGAGAAGCCAGCATTGTATTTTTAGTACATTTTTGGTTTTGGGGTTGTTGTTTTTTTTGTAGATTTTGTGGACAATGCCTGATTTCATGGTTTCCATGAAATCTGTGCAACCGTGAATTGAGTAGGTCCCTAGTAATCAGGTCCTAGCACTATCTGTGACATGTGGAAGGGGGAGAGAGAGGAGAGGATGCTGGCATCCTAGCAACCAAAATTATGCTGCATGAAACTGAACATGCATTTCACATGGCATTGGAAAACTCAGCTCTCCAGTAAAGTTGGAGCTGGAAAGAGCTAACAGTTTATGACAGCATCATTTTGATTTTTGTCCACCACATACTGCTTGAATGTCTATATGCTCACTTTTTGTGCTGGGAAAAATGCATATGTCCTGATGCAAAGGTAACATGTGTCCATGGCTTGAGTAAGCCCCCTCAAGTCAAGGAGATTAAAAGCTGTGAATTTTAATGGGACTGTTCAGGTGTTTAACTTCTGACACATGTTTAAATACCTTGCTGAAACAAGGCCTATGTTACATAAGATGTTTCCCTAGTTAGGATGAGAGTCAGAATTTACTTTACCCAGGTAACCCCACTGACTAATTGGAGTTATACTCTATATTAATTAGGATACAAGTTGCACCTTGTTATTGAGTGGTGAAAAGGTTAGGGAGCCATTTAATAGAAGGTCAGTTAAAAATAGGAAGAGCTTCCCCCCAGAAGCATTTTTATGTGCATACCATGATTGTTGCTTTTCCTTAATTATGTACATAATATCTTGGAAAGAATAACTGGAAGAGAACTCATAATTAATGAGTTCTTAAACCCTGCAAGATGAAGCTGTAGCAAACAAGATGCAAGTTCATGGAGCATTACTTGTAATTCTAGTCATATGTCTCCTATGAAAGTATGACACATGGATGGGAAACACTTACTTGATTCCTTGGTAGCAAAGCTTTAAAATTAAACCTCTATATTAGAGCAGAATTCCTCAACAGTTTTCCATGCTGTGGCCCCTATTTCTTTGGCAAAAGTCCTCCAAGGGTTGCCATCTTGATGGCATGTAGCAATGATCTCCATCCTACTTAGCAATCAGGTCCTGACATCTCTTTGCTACCCTCTTTCTAAGAACCCCTGAACTGGAGAACATTCTGCATCAACTGAAATGTAGGAAATGCATTTGTGGATAACAACTGGTATGGATTTGGCTAAATGTTTATCAAATTTATGGCACTGTCTGTATCCAAAGGTTTCTGTGTGTTTCAGATAAAAACAAATGTCAAATACAAATGCAAAATGAGAAAAGAGCTCAAGTTATATAGCATTACAACTGTGTGTTACCTGTTATCTCTCTCACTGTTTGGAAGATATTTAATTTCTCTGGGTCGATTGCTGCAATTGTGTGATATGGGTCCCTGGAAGATTAGAAGGACACATTGTAATGTTCTGAATATAAAATGAGCAGGGTTATAAAACTTCTTCATGGAGTAGCACTATTCAGAATGTCAGCACTTTGCTTTTAGCTACTCAAATACACCAAGTCATTTTCCAATTTCTTTAAACTTCCTGATACTGCAGAGTCCTGAATGAGTTTGTAGCCTTACATTTCCCAATTTATACTGATAGCAAGAGATGAGGCTCAGCTTATTGAACCATCAGGCAACAAAAAGTTTTGGTAAATATTTGAATTTATGAAATGCAGTGGATTTTCAACCACTGATACGCATGGCCTCAACAGGTATGGGGATATTCATTCAAACTAATCTTTAAGACATAGTGCTGAAAATGAGTTAGTGCCATGACTTAAAGCAATGCTAATATCATTAAAATTGTTACTAAAAGTAGTCTAAGATTTTCAAAAGCAACCAGTGAGGTAAGGGTGGCTCTGTTAAGTAAGCTAAAGGATTTGTGTTTTCAAAAAGTGTTGAATGCCAACTCTTTTGAAAACCAGGACCCCCGCAAAACTATTTTAAGTTTTCCACCTGAAAATTGAGGCAGCCAAAACCACTTAAAAAAACCCCTAAATCAGTCCTGCAGCTGCTGGAGTAGCCCAGGGTACAAGTGACTTTCATTTCATGAGCCCTGTCATCAGGCAAATAAATATTAATGTAGGACAAGAAAATGTTCTGAAAATACCCATTAAATTCAAAAGAAAGTTTGTTATGCTGTGACCCCTTTGTGGAAGAAAACAGATAAAAAGGCTAACCCAGAAAAAGTGATCTTTCAAAAGCATTAAGAAAAAGGGTCTTGTGTGATACTGTCTTGTGGGATGTTTGTATTTTCAAGTAATACCCCTGGGATAGAAAACAACTTTAGTAGAAGTGAAGTGCGCATTCCCAACACCTTTTCATTTGATTTTCCAAGAGGAAAATTGCTTAGAATTGATATATATGGATAATCAAACACGCTGCCTTTGAAGCCATCTCCTTAGACTTCAGTACAGTAGAGGGTTAGGCCCTACTGAAGGCTTCACATCGGCTTTGACCAGCCTGGGTGGCTAGTTATGGGGAGCAGGCCAAGACAAGCAGCCACAGTGTCAGCCCAAGGGCCCAGGTTCAAAGATATAGTCTGACAGCAAGAGAGGAGAGCATTGTGGGAGTGAAACATCATTCTGCTCTGTGGAATGTGTACACACAATAGGAAACACTTCATTTTGAAGAGTTTCTAAACAAAGTTTTTCCCACAGGACTATTATTGAAATATTTCCACCATTTCTGTCTGCTCACCCTTTGAAAGTCATACGAAATGCTTCAAGTGCATGCCTGTACAAGGCCTAAATGAGGAATGAGCATATTGTAGTTTATTAGGTAAAAGATTATTAAAAGAAACACTGTTTTTTTAACATCTGCAATTCAAAAATATTCTCTACTGCTGCAAAAACATCCCTCAACTCCTCAGAGGCCACTTATAGGCCATAGGTTAATTCCTATGGTTTTAATTTTGAGTGTGCTTATATCTAAAATACAAACAAAATTAAGTAAACCATTTCTAAAACTAAAAGGATAGAATTTGTCCCGAGTACATGTAAACAACTTCCGTAAATAAAATTTAAGAGGCAAATACACATCATTATTGTTGCTCTATACTGTCAAATTATTTAAAGATTATTTGTATAATTGGTGTCCTTTCTCCTTTCATTTCTTTTTTTCTTTTTGTAAATGTATTTTGTAACATTTAATAATAAGCTTAAATGAAAAAAGCTGACCCAAGACTATAAAGTGCTTTTAATTAATTCTCAAATTTGTTTCACTTTTAAACAACAGGACATTATTTCAACCTATTCCAGTTCACGATTGTGGTTTATTGTGCGATGCAAAAGATTAAGTTCATTGAGATGTCCAAGACTGGTATTAGGCCTTTTATTATTTTGTTTTAAGCAGGATGCTGGTTTAGAGCATTGCATTTTTTCGGCATAAATGCTATAAGCTTTTGTTCCATTGGACAAAATATTTTAGCTTTTACTCATCCCTTTCTATTTTCTTTAATAAACTATAACTTGGATCCTTTCACTGAAGAATACAGTTTTGTTCCAAGGTCGTTTCTGCCAATGCTTCTTGCTTAATGCTAGACAGGTTCATTAATGTGATTCATCTCACAGTTCTCCTTTACATTTTTGCAACTAATGCCTTTTTAATACTCAAAATTACATTTCACTTAATGCATCAGCTAAGCCACAGGGCATGTTCAGATTCTAGTAAATTTCTGTGGCTGCCTGTCTTAAATTGACTAGCCTTCCACCTACCATGTGAATTTAGCAAATTCCTGACCACTCCTAAAGTTCAGGCAGTGTGAGGTCAGAGCACTGAGCCTTTCAAGATCTTGCTCAGTGGGTGAGATGCTTAATGCCCATTAGACTAATTCTACTGAGCATTAGCATGGCTGGCAAAAACTGTGCTAATGAGCTAAATGAGCAGTAGATTAGTCCAATGGGCATTAAGCATCACCTAAAAGTGTTCACCTGTGCTAATACGCAATAGCACCAATTACAGTGCATTATTTTGGTGTTATTACATGTACTAAACTTAATGTGCTATAATTATGGCGCATTAATGAATGTGTAGATGCACCCAGTGCTTACCTAAATCTAGAACAGAGCTTCTTTAAATCACTTTGATTTGGTTCCTTATCCATTCCTATGCTTTATCCCATGCTACATTAACCTTTCACACAGCAGTCCCTGCTTTGAAAGATGAGAAGACCATCTATGTAGTCATAACCTAAATTTGCTGGCTTATAATCATTGACCTCTGAAGTCCTAATCCAATTCCACTGAAGTTGTTGGGAAACTTTCCACTGATTTCAATGTGCTTTAGATGAGATGCTAAGTAAACAAGCACTTCAGCTTGATATCCAATCCAAATATCAGGAAATCAGGTGTCTTTTACCTCACCCTGTCAAGCTGTCTGAGGGCAAATCTATACCCTTGAGACATACTAAGGTTTACCAGTGTGAACCGGGTTCTGTACATGCCAAAAAAGAATAGAGTAACAATTGTTTGGTGTGCACTTAGGGTGCTTTCAGCATCATCATCAGACCTTATTTGTAAGTACCTAGTTACACACTAATGGCAGTTACATCACATTTTGGCATTTGGTACATGTCAGAAGAGAGTGAATGTGCAGATCTGCTTTCACCCCATGTCTCCGAGGCAGTAGAAACATACTCTGAGAGATCTCTCTTGCTATTGGCAATTCTATTTTTCTAGATACCAGAATATGTAGAAAGATTATGGAAAAATCCACAGCAATTAGGTATGTCAACAGTTTCAGATTAATTTGTTGTAGTTCAGTTAATGGTATCCTTCCATGATGTGAAGTTCCAAATGTGGATGTGGTGCAAGATATCAGATCTCAACATCCAGTGATGAAACCTCTAAGGAACCTACAGGTAAGATGCTAGAAGTTGACAGAAAGCTATACAATGATAGAACAAATTGAATACATATTTATTGTTCCTGCACGTGAAAATAGCTGCAGTACCTGACATAACGGAAAAACATTCCAAGTGTTTCACTGTGTTCATCCATTTGTAGGACGTTGTTCATTTTAATGGGGACCGCTATACCTCAAAGTGGCAAACTTAATTCACCACAGCTGATGATTGATGCTCACAAGAGGTCTGAATAAGTAAGGAGATCTAATCCTACTTTTATTTTACCAAGGCTAATTCTTTCAGGATGGATGACAGACAATGCAAGAGAGCTGGCAGATGCCTTGTATTTCACTGCTGTATCAAAAGAGAATTTTTTTGTCCAAGAAGCATCTCAGGTGGAAAAAAGATGCCCATTCTTACAGTGATATTGACATTAACTGTAACCAATAGTGCATCTAAATACAATCTAAAGTGCTGGTTGAGGTTACATTTTCAATTATATGTTAAAAATATGCTATAACTATTTTTTCCTTAAGAGTGGAAAAATTTAGATGTCAGTCAAACTTTACTTTTTAAAAAAATCTCTTCAGTTGTCCCTGAGCTTTTAATGGTGTTTAGATGCAAAATACAGATATGTATAAACTGAAACGCTGGATCTAAGCACTCTTTGGTATATGGGTAGTTGCAACTCACACCTGAATATGCATTTCATAGACAACTTATCTAATGGTCAAAGTCCATTGGGAAGTTTTTCAGTTTATGTATATTGTCATAGTCAGTGAAGCCACAGGGATCTGCTCCCAGATAAGCATCTGCATTTTGCAGATAAGGTAATTTTTAGTTCATGATAAGAAAGTCAATTGAAGCAAACCATTCTGTGCTTCCCAGCCTCTGAGAGGCTGTCCCTCCAATCCAGTCACAGGGCTCATAAAGTAATCTTATATTCCAGCCGTCTTTCCCTTTCTCACCGCAAACTTTCTTCTTTGTTCTTTCCTACGTAAAAGCTGAATGTAAGTTTCAAGCTGACAGAATCATCACTTCACAGAGTGAAGACAAAACCAATTTAGTTTGGAGCTTCTATTTAATCAGCCATTCCAGAAGCCACAAGTCAGAGATGTCCACAATTAATTCTCCCCTGCTGCAAAACCACAGTCTGCCACAAAGTTTTTGGACTTACCCATGAATCCCAGTGACAAGAAAAATCAGATTTCCATTGATCTTGGTGCAGTTTATGAACTTGTCAATGTTGCTGGAGTCCACAGTTTGAGCTGACACCAAACTCCCTGTGCCAATGCCATCACATGCTGCCAAGACAAAAAACATGTGAAAACAGCTAGTAAAAATGTTCAGTTAATCAAGAAATGTTCACTGTTTATTCACCTGAGAATTTATTTGCTTCAGAAATAGGCAAAATGGTTCTATTAATGGTTCAGAAGAGGGATGCTCAATAGGGGTGTGCAAAACAGGCCATATTGGATTCAGATTCAGCCTGAACCGGGGGACAGCAATTCGATTAGTTGATTTGGATCACTGTCCCGATTCATTTCGGCTGAATCTGAAGATTCGATGCTGATTCAGAGAATCAGCAGTTCGGCCACAGACACAGTTTTAAATAGTTTTTCTACACATCTTGAGGTACCTTGAGTAGCTTGTGAATACTAAGATGGTGGGGCAGATGGAGCATCCCACAGGAGTTGGGGGGGGGGGACGACCCATGTGCTAGGTGGCAGACCCAGAAGTGGACAGGAAGTACTTCTGGTCCACTTCCAGGTCCACCACTGAGTGCATGGGGGACACTCCCCACACCCCCCTGGCTTAGTGATCAGCCATGGGGGGGACCCTGGGTGCCCACCCAGACCCAGAAGGCACCAGTGGTTGAACTGGGGGGTGGGTCCCCTGTGCACACCGCAGTGCACCCAGAATTGGACCAGAAGTGCTTCAGGTCCACTCCAGGTCCACCACCAAACATGCTAGGGACCCCACCACACTCCCATAGGATGTTCTATGCGCCCCAGCATGTCAGCATTCACAAGTTGCTTGGTACCTTGAGGTTTGTAGAAAAAAATATATAAAGCTGTGTCTACGTCTGAATCATCAAATCTCTCCAAATTGATTCGGAGGTTCCAATTCGATTCAGAGGGATTAAAGAGTCTTCTGATTCAGTTCGGAGACTAGGCTGCCAAATCAGGCTGAATCTCTGCTGAATCAAATCAGCAAATGAAGCTTTGTAACAGCCTTAACGCTCAACCCCCCTACCTCCAGGTCACATCCAGCCCCCAGACCATGCAGTCAAGCCTGCAGGGGTCTGTACAAGTCCAAAAACTGGGTGGTGGGAGAAGTGATAGTACCAATTGCCATTCCACTGCCACCAAACTTTTAGATTTGTTGGAAGGTCCCAAGCAAGGTAATATGCTGGATTGGCAAGCATAGGTAGCCTGGGGCCCATCTGGGCACACACTGACTTTCTGGAGGCAGCATGGGGCTTGATCCAGTGGTGCAGGGCCCCAAGGAGGCAACACTGGCCAAGGAAAATAGGGAGGGGTCCCAATCTTTTGGCACAGGCCCCAGGGAGGTATACAGCTGAGAGAGGCAGTGCCAGGCTCCGATTGTGGGGCAAGTGGCTGGTGGCTGATGGAGATGGTACAGCACCATGATCTTGCAGCACAGGGCCCTAATCCAGGGGTATGGGGCCACGGAAGGAAGTGGGGTGCCTGATCCTGATACACAGGGTTTAATCCAGCCTGAGGATTGGTCCTGCACCACTCATTCAGCCTACAACCACAAAAGTTTAAATACCCTGGGTTCAGAACATTTGCCCATTCCTGAAAACAAACTTTTCAAGGTCTAAAAATATGGAATTTTAGGTATTTGCCCTTTAAGAAAGAAGTGCTAATGTTTCCCTTATTCCTCCTGAGCATCCAACTGACAAACAAGCTGTTAGCTGTTATGCAGCTGTTAGCAATACAGCTAGATGCTTCCCAGTGAGGCCCTTCCATTTAATTCAAAACTTGCATGCTCTGGCATATATGCTAGTCACCTGGGTACAGTGTCCCCTGATTACAGCTGGACAACACAGACAGCTACTTACATTAGACTCCAACATTGGCTTCTATCATTGCAGTATCTAAGCCCTTCTCACATAAACATAACAGTATTATCACTCTCCTCCTTCCCAATATATAGGGCTATGAGCTCAAATAGAAAATTGTGCACACAAGTGCCTGCATGTGGAAGTATATATTTGGGGAAGAGCTATTTATTGCATCTAGACTCAAGAAATAAATATTGAATTCAGTTTAGAATGCAATGAGACCATCTGCATTTAAATCAGCATGAGGCAGAGGTCCTTCTGTTTGTTTGCTTCCACCCCATGTGGCATTACTGTTTCGAGCTTGACCTCCTTGCTGCCTATTAAATTTCTTTACATGAAGCATCTGGTGTCTGCCTCTATTACAACAGGTACAGGAGAATGCCACAGGCTGGTGGTGGGGAAAACAGGTAGTGTTTTATTTCTATTGCTGCTGGTACCTTGTATTAAGAAAAAGATATGCATGACCCTCCCATTGATGACCTATTGGTAAAGAAAATGGAATGGGCATTACATTCAGAAGTTTCCTGGTAAGAGAAAGAGTCTTGGACCTCTCTCAATTCCACCAGAGGAAAGGAGAGAGCATTTTGTTTTTCTCAAGGTCAGGAACGATCTTTTAAGGAAGTGGAGCCCCCAAAAGCTGTAATTGGAGATATGGGATATCCCACAAAGATAACAATACAGTTAGTGGATGCTTATACAAGTTATATTTTTCACATGATCTGACCCCTGAATGCACTCTACAGCTGTTACATAACAAATGTTCATGGTTGCAGAGCATTTACAAAGGATGATCACACAACAAACTAACCCTCGATAAATCAGCTATTAGCAGAAGGTGCTCTAGAACACAGTGTGTTAGGGAACTTCTGTTCAGGTTCTTCTAAGGTTAATTTTTTCCATGGCCAGTGGCACCAGCCCAGCACCACCCTAAGGGATGTTACAGAGAGGAGAGAGTCTCCTCCCTGTGTAGCAAGAGAGGGAGAGGGAAGAAGAGGAAGCACATAGTTGCCAGCTGGGTTTTGCTATGGCCAGAGCTGGGAGTCAGGCTGGGGCCATGAGGCAAGGGGACAAGTGGGCAAGTGGGCTCTTCCCCCCCCCCTGCCCCCCCACCATATCTCCAGCCACAGCGAAGCCCAGCCAATAGCTATGCATTGCCATTGTCAAGATGCTCAAGCCAGGGATTGAGGAAGGGAGCCCCCTCCCACCGCACAGGCCAGTCCCAGCCTGGCTCCCCCAATACCCCAGTCAAGGTAGCTGGGGAGTCCCATGAGGCAATGGGGCTCCCTTCGTCTACCCCAGCTGCTGGCTCAGCTTTGCCATGCCTAGAGCTGAGGGTGAGGGTGAGGGTGAGGGTTTGGGCCAGGGAGAGGAGTGGTTTGGCAACTTCCTGAGAGGCTGCTGGAGCACCCCTGCGCACTGGCCAGGGCTGATACAGGCAAGCTTGAGTCCTGCTGACCCATCTGTTGAGTTGGGGGGGGAGGGGGAAGGAGGGGCTGTAACTCCTTCTTTGTGTAAAGCACCATGAGTTTGTGCCTCCCCTAAATGTCTGTAGGCACCCCGTGAATAGTGAGGGTTTTGGAACTCTTCCCCTATACGTTTCCCACAGATAAGCTTCAACTTGTATGAATATTAATACTAGCAACCATTAACGAAACCCTTACACTTTTATTCCTCTAAAAAGGATTTATAAAATATAGTAGTCTTGGCTTTTCCCAAAGAAGAAATGCATACGTTATCCATATTAACATATCACAGTGATAAACCTGAAATACATTAAATTTAGCCACCATGGTTTAATGTCTGTTAGCTGTTGCTACTGGATATTGTAAAACTTATTAATGAATAACATTTCATTTTTAAAAATTTGCTTTGCAATACAGCTATGCAGATTAATTCCAAGAAAAGCTATGATAAATTAACATCTACCTTTAGGACAAATGTCAGTGCAGGGTTTGCACATCTTAATACCATTTTCTTCAACCTCCATTTTGGAGCTGGGACAGGCACGTACGCAGGAGCTGGAATCCACCACAAAGTTATCTGGGGGAAAAAAAAAGGACAGTACTCAAAATGAGCCAATGTACTATGTAATCTTGAGACTGGTAATTTTGTACTCGGAAGATAAAAATAGTTTAATTATTGACTTAATGTTTTAATAGAGGGTAAAAATTTCAAAAGCACCTAAGTGATTTGGGAGCTTAAATCCCATTTGGAAAAAGGGATCAAATATGACAGCTGAGGACCCATGGAAGTTAATGAGACTGAAGTTCTCCTATGAACCTAAGTCACTAAGGATTTACACTAAGTCTACATTTTAATAGTTTTATCCATTACCGTTTTGCCAAACGGTGTGAAGATAATTTATTTTCTATCCAATTACTGAAATTTCATAGATTTCACAGATTCCATAGGCATTAGGGCTGGAAGGGACCTCTCAAGATCATCAGGTCCAACACCCTGCCCAAAGGGCAGGCAGTCAGCTGGGGTCAAATGATCCCAGCAAGATAGATATTCAAGTGTTTCCTAAAGGAATCCAGAGTAGGTGCCTGCACCACCTCTGGGGGGAATCTATTCCAGGCCCTGGGGACTCAGACAGTAAATAAGTTTTTCCTTATGTCCAGCCTAAAACTGTCTTCTAAGAGTTTGTGACTCTTGGACCATGTCTTCCTATGGGGTGCCCTGGTGAACAGATTTCTCCCAGTTCCCAGTGCACACCATTATATACTTATAGGTTTATAGGCTGCCACCAAGAAAAATTACCTGTCTTGATCTCAAAAGACTGTGTGAAATCAGAGGTGTGCCTACAATACCGATCACCCATGTTTCTTTTCATGAGAGGAGCACAAGTGGAAAGAAGCACTAGAAAAGACTTAATTTCAAATATCTTAAACTTTCAGGGGAAAAATCATGAATTATTAAAGAATAATAAAGAATTAAGAGGAGGGAAGAGCCTATATGCCAATTAACTTTCATTTTCATAATGAACAAGTATAAGGGGCATCATTAAAATAGTGGAGAGCAATGGGACTACTCTGGTAAGTAACACATATTCTCAGTTTAAGCGAGGTGGAAGAATCTAACCCTAGCTTTTAAAGTTACTTTAGCCCTTAATATTTCTGACAATCATTGTGGTCTTCCCTATTACAACTATGGGAAATACTGTACAAATTGAAATTCTGAGTCTGGTTTGGGCTGAATTAAGGTTCCATTTATAAGGGTTTGCTTTCTCTCATCATACTTATGCTTTGGTTAGCAAGAGACAATACTCACAGAACTTGGTGGAGGGAGGAAGAGAAAAACTAAACATTGTCTTTTTAGTGGACAACAGGCTGTCAGAAATTATGAGGACCAGATAAGAATGCACATGTTGGCTGATAGACCACAGAGAATTGTGCTTATTTATAACTTACTTGGGCACCTTTTAAAAGAAAGGATTAATTTCAATAATATTTTCAGAAGCATACAGATGTACCTATCTAGGACAGGATGGCTCAGAGAAGGCCAGTGGCAACATTTTGTAATACTCACTACTCCCCTTCTATAAAGAAAAAGCATCACAATCTATTAGGCCTGTGCAAAGCAGCAAGTATTTGTTTTGGATACAGATTTGGCTGATTTGGAGGGACATAAATTCAATTTGGTGATTTGAATCACTGTCCCAATTTGATTTGGCTGATTCAGAGATTCGGCCATAGACTATAATGGGGAATCACTAAAATACCTGTAACTTTTTCATTGTTTTGCAAATTCGGATGATAACAGCAGGGATGGTATCCTCTTCTGAAGGCATAAAGCCTGGCAAGTTTGAAGGAGATAAATAAAGGGGTTTCTGTGAAAATGCACCTCAAACCGTTCAAAGCAAAACTTGTATCACTTGTGTGTGTTAAGGCAGAGTGGGTGTGGCGAAGTGGGGCTCCCTGCCTAGACATAGTGCTAGGTTCGCCATTAGGCATGCCACCCACCTGACTCTCCTGCCATTCCTTGTTCTTAATTAATTAATAGTTGTTAATTAAGGCAGGAGGCTGCCCATTTTATGCCCTGATGCCAGGGGGTGCTATCTGCAGCTCCAAACCTCCCCTACACCGCAGCCCATGCCTCACAGATGGCATCCAGATGTTTGTCACACCAGCCCCACACTGGGCTCCAGAATCCTTCTGTCACAACCCTCCTTTGATCTCTCCACTCAGGCAGCCTATTCTGCCATCATTCAGGCTGCTCAGCTCCCTGTAGCTATTCCTCTCTTGGGCATGGTCCCCCCAGGACCTTCAGCCACACAGGCCCTGGCCTCACCTCCAAGAACCCAGGCCCCCAGCTCTGGGCGTCCCTCACTGTAGGCCCCTGGCCCTTTTGACCTCTCTGGTCCTGGCCCCAGCACTGACCAGTCAAGGGGGCACTCTACCTCCAGCCTCACTAGCCCCACACTCTCTCCAGGACCACCTTCCTTGATGTGAGGAGCTGGGGTACCTTACACCATGACTGGTACTCCAGGGTCTCACAGGGGACTCTCACTCCCCCCCTTGGAGCAGCAGGTCATGGTGCTACCCTGAGACCTTACATTCAACCCACACTTGGTCGCCTCACAGTGGAGGACTTACCAGGGTCATGACTCACCACTCTGACTCTGGGGTTGATTCCCCTTCACTTGGCCTCTGGCCCAAACCTCGGCCTCAGGTGTCCAAAGGCTTACCTGGGCCTGCTCCCCTTACTTGAGACTCCACATTACCCCCCTCACATGGGGCCCCAGGTCTCGACCCCTCACTTGGGGCTACCCCATCACTGGGGCTCCCCACCACCCCCTCACTTGGGGCTACAGATCTTGGCCCCCTTCACTTGGGCTACCCCCTCACTGGGGTCTTAATTTCTGCCCACCTCACTCAGGGCTCCAGACTACCCCCTCACTTGGGACCACAGGGTTTCACTCCTTGGTGGGCTCAGGTGGCCATAGCTGTGCCTGGCGCCAACTTCCCCTCTCAGGGTCTTGCACTCCCACAGGGTGCAGGAGCCTGCAGCTGTGCCTGGCCCCAACTACCTCTGGTGGTATGCAAAACCCAACTGAAGGTGAGGGCTAGGGTTAGGGTTAAGGCACCCCTACCCACCTTTCACTGGGGTGATAACTGGCCTGGCATTTCCTAAGGGCTCCTGTGCCACTGAGAACCCCACCACGCCACCCACTCCCAGCAGAGTGCAGTTTTAGGTTATGCCCAGGACCAGGAGCCTCCTAACTACCCCCTAGAGTTCCTCCATCACCTCCAGGATGTTCCAGAAGCCCTGAAGCCAGGTAATGTTACTGCCTTCCCATCCAGCAGGGAACTGAGCTCTTTATATAGGCAGCCAGAGATCTAAAATGGCTGCCCTAAACAAGCACCTGCTGGCTGCTTAGCTTTGGTCTTAAAGTGACAGGCACCAACAGTGCCCAGCCACACACCTTCCCCCTTTAAATGGTACCTAGGGGGTTTCCCCTGCTGCTGCTCCAAAGCAGGCTCCCACTAGAGCCTGTGGGAGCCCCCCAAGTGGTAAGCACCCTCAAAGTGCTCTGCCACAGTGGGATGAAAATGGTAGCCTCTCGTGCAGGCATGAAGGTTTCCTGCAAGCCTTCCAAATCTCTGAATCTCTCCAAATTGATTCAGAGGCTTCCAATTCAATTTGGACCTTTTCATGGGTCTCCAGTTTCAGTTTGGATTTGGAGATTTGGCTGCTGAATCAGACCAAATCTCCTCCAAATCGAATCAGCTACCAAAGCTTCACACATCCCTGCTATCTATCTACCACCTGATGCCAAATGGTTTATTTATATTTTCCTGGCACCTATGAGTGGAGTCAGTGGATATGTTAACTGACCTCCTCATTTAACTCTCAAGGGGAATTTTGCTGGAATCCTGTCCAATTATTGTACATGTGGACTGGGAGAAGGGAATAGCTCTGTAGCCCTGGGCAGGTATTTTTTCTTTCCTTCTATCTAACCAATGTTTCTGAGGATGGCTATTATTTTCAACTGTACCTAGCTGATAGGTCTGGAATAAAAACTGTTCAGAATCTCACTGAATCTAGTACTAAGGTACAAACCAATACTGCATATTCCTTAGAGATGTCACTTTAGAGTACACTATTGTACAACACCTTTATTAAACACCTCAACATTAGAGTAAAAGGTTGGATGCAAAGCTAGCAAGTCAGCTCATTTCTGAAGTAGGTAGAAGAAGGATAAGAACTAGCTACACAGCATCAGGTTTGGGGAAAAAAATAATCCTCCTCAGTAAGTAAGGTCTGTCAAACACATAATTTGTATAAACAAGTCATTTACTAAAACTGAAATCCTACCTCTACATAACCATTTTAATTTAGAATAGTCTTCTGAATTACTCAAAGCATACTTTCTAAGATTATGGAGACTGAATAAAACCAAAAATATTTGAGTGCTAGACAAAGTCTGAAAACTAGTGAAATTGCAGCTTTTTTTTTTGTCTTGTGGGAGTTTTATGTTTGTTTTTTTGAATGTTGGCTCTATTATTGGGCATTTGCAAAATGTCAGCTTCCAAAAATGTCATTCTGCTTGATTAACACATAACTTCAAACTGTTACTGCTAAACAGCAGAGTTGGAATGATTAGCCCTATCAGGCTATTCATTCAGCTCCAACCTTAACATTACTTCATAATAGTCTCTAAAAAAAGGGTTTTGTTCACAAGGAATTGCACACCATGCACTTCACTGATATTGGGGAATAAAGCAGGCATCAGGTAACTTACGTGGACATTTTTTGACACAAAAAGCTCCATAGGTGTACTTGGCATTATGATTGTGCTCCAGCTGAAAGGTGGTGGGATTGTAGACAAAAGTCTGGGGGCACTGAGTGACACACGCTCCACTGTCATTGAAATTCATGCAAGCCTGAAATATAAGAAATCAACTGATCATGCGGTGCTTTCTCGATTTACTTACTTTAGACCAGTACCCAGTCTATTCACTAACTACAGAGGTACTGTTGCAGCAATTAGGCGTGGGTGCATAGTTTTTAAGCTTTGTTTTTCCACTTAGGTTTCTTCTTAAGATCTTAACGAAACCTGGATTTGTTATAAAAGACATTTTGAGCCCCTAAAACATCATTTTAGAAATGCAACAATCTTAATACATGTTATAAAAGGAAACATTATTTTTTCACTATTATTCTCACCATTAGCAACAAATTAATTGCAAACTTGACAGGCAGTTCCAAATTTCCCAACAGTGAACTGTTATTTAAGCTGCTCATGTCCGGCTGAACATGCACTAATGATCTGTGCTTTAGCAGGCCAACCTTCTGATCTCTTAAGGCAGGAATCTGAAGTCCAGCAGAGGACTGAAACTCCCAATTAGGCAGCAATAGGGATACGATTTTTTCTTTAAGCTAGCACAGGATGGGGTCATTTCCCTAAGTAACAAATTTAATGAGGTCAGTTGCTTCACACACTGAGAAGAGAAAATAGTACTTTGTATCACTCAACATCCCAACTCAACCACACACTCCAGACAGAGGACAAGGCAATGACAGATAAAGAATCAAGTAGATAGGTAAAAAGGGTAGAAGAATGTAAGTAAAATAATTGACTGTTCTGGCTGGCCATTGCCCATTCAAGAAAACACTGATTTCTGCATTTCTTATAATCGAGTGTCCTGTCTATTATACTAACTACAATTTAGGAACAAACTTTGAGAACAAATTGTCTGAGTCAGGAAAATCCCGTGTAGTTTCAATTTTCAATAAAATGTTTCTGCATAGAAAACAATTTGAGCTACTCCAGCACATTCCTGATCTGCTCTTGTCTGCATCTTTAGCAATCATAGCTACAGGATGATGTTTCCCCATGGAGAACACAACATATTTATACCAGTCTAATGTGCTTTTTCACTGGTATAAATATAGAACAGACACACAATATACAGCTTAACATTGATGTAAGGCAATCCAATCTAAAGTAAAGTTGTCACATGTCCATAGCTCTGGGCTATTTCAGGCTAGAATAGCAGCTACCTGTTCAACTCTTCTCTTGATACCTGCTTGCAAAGCATGGTAATATCACCTATTGAGGGTAGCTACCTCTGGAGAGATGACTGTCCTTCTTCTCTGGACACTAATGTGAAGTGTACAAATTGATATATGTTATACCATTGTAAATCCCCAACACCATCTAACTCAACTTCTAGAAGGTACAACACACTCTGGTCCAGCCATTCCCAAGCATGCCCTCCCACCTGCTCTTGCTGACACTCTCCGAACCCAGAAACATGTTGGTGAAGACACCTGTGGGGGTGGGGAAGTCTCTTGTAGCTAATCTCGAGGCTTTGGTATTCAGTGTACTTGACAGCAGCTTCTGAGAGTTCCCTGGGACCGTCTTTATCAGTGTATTTCTGGCCTTGGATCATGTATAGGTGTGCTTGGGGCTACTGTGGTATAGACATGCCTTTAGTCCCTAAGTAGAGTTTTGATCCAAAGTCCACTGATGTCAGTAAGAGTCTTGACACTAACTTTATTGACTTTGGATCAGGCCCTAAAAGAAAAGCTGTATTTCACAAACTTATTTCAACCCCAGACCTAAGAGCATCTTCAAATCCTTGCAAGTAATTATGATGAAATAGTCATGCCAGGAGATGCATATTATCTTGTGTTCAAAATGTGTGCAGAGGAGGATGAGTGAACTTAATCTGGCAATATTAAACACATATTTACAACACAATGATATTACAGGCTTTCAGAAGCCGCCATAATATGCCAAAGGATTTCTTAATGCATCATAAACTATAGTTTTGTTTATTAATAAATACTAATTTACTTTGCTTCCTCAACACATTTTCTATATCCACTGTTGTCTTAGCAAGTACTTTATCATAAACATGACAATCCTCTGATGATGACTTAGTAAATACATAATCAGAATGAGGCATACCAATGAAACATTACTCAAAGAGATGACACCTTCCAGGAAGAATCTATTAAAATCCAATCTAGAAGACTCAGGAAGTTTTAATTTATGACTCTAAAACTTCATGTACATTTATAATTGTTTCACTAACATATGCAAAGCTTACAGTGATTGTTTCTAAATGCACCTATATGCATATGAAAGCAAAGCAACATGCATAGGAAAAACGAAGGCATTCAAGTTAGTTAAAAGTAAATAGCAGTAGTTTTAACAAAACCACAAACTGGTGTCTGTATGTGCCCTCCACTGCAGCCTAAAGTGTTACTTCTTGTCTGGTACATGAAAAGAAATTAATCAGAATGAAAGGATTTTGATTTACCCTTTACATTACTCTAGGGACTTTGTTTAAATCAGAATCAGCCCTTAGGTGTTTTCGCATTGGATCAGCACAAACATACCAACGTGATTTTTAGCAAAGACATTTTCATAATTGCTACAATGATGCTGCAGAAAAATGTGAAGTATTCAATACCTAATAGAAATTATATTTTCTTCATGGTGTGGTGCTAGTGATACTACTGCAATACTGCTAGGGCCTTTGAAGATTTCAGGGAAGATAGCTCTGAGCATAATGCAACAGATAAAGATTCAAATGATTTGGGGTCAGTCCATGGGCAGAACCACAGATATCTGACAGCAACTTGAGCAAGTTGCTCTGTATGTGAAATGGGGATATAGTAATAGACCCCCGGATAAAGGAACTATTTCATAAAATCTTTGGGAGCAGCGACTGTTGCATTCTATTTAACTTTGAATTAGGTCCACTATGTGTACAGACAGATGTTTGGAGAGGTTAGAGAGAGGTTAGATAATGTTAAAAATGGCCACCCGATTTAACTTAGTTCACCCAGGTGCAAACCCTACATTTAGATTCCTAGTTACGTCTAGCTAAGTGTGAACTGTAGAGAAGGTCAGGAAGGTTAGACTTGTCTAAAAATGGCCAACCCAATCTAAGTTAACTGTACCTCAGAGGTAGTCTAATTTAGATGGGTTCCTGCGATGGGTTCAGCAAGACTGACTTAGCTGAACTTCTGTACAGTTCCCAGCACAGTGCCCGCCCCAGGGCTGCATTTTTCCTACCCCCTCACAGGCCCACCAAGCCCCTCATCCCACAAGGCACTTTCAGTGTTGGTTTTACCAGTGTTTGCCAGTGCTGGCAGCTGAGGAAGTAAGACAGGATGGGGAGAGTGGCAGGCAGGACTGCCGGGTTGCTGTTCATCTAGGGCTGAGGGGGAGCTAGGGGGATAAAAATAGTCCCTGGTCCCAGGGGCTGGGAAAGAGAGCACCCCCCATTGTCCCCCAACCCTCCCCCACTGACACTGCTAGCCTTCTAATTTCCTTAAACCCTCTTGGACCCTACCAACCCCTCCCATGAACCGTACTAACTTCCTGATCCCCCAAAGATCCCCATGGACCCCTCTTGCTCCCCCGATCCTCCCAACAAACCCCACTCCAATACCACCAACCCTCCATGGACTCCACTTGCCCTTGTTCTCTTGACCCACCACAACTAGCCTCACCATCCCAACTTACCTTAGATCAGATGGCCATTACATAACTCAGTGTAACCTATCCTTAACCTCCCTGAATGTCTGCATGCACCCTGTGTATACATTCTCTATCAAGGTTCAATAAAGCACTAATCACTGTTGCCTGCTTCATTAACTAGTCATAGCTGTCACTATGCTGCATTCCCAAAGTACCTGAAACCACAGAGTAGCATCAGGACGGAACTTTTAGGTAGGCTACAGAAGCACAGGCACTTACTACTCAGAGATTTGCATGCCAGTGACAGATGGATAACAGTTCTGATTCATGCCTTTGTAACAGCTCATTACTATTTTGTTATAATACAAAACATATAAGATTGTGCATGCCAAAAATCTACTAATGGGTTTTCCTTATGTTACGTAACAGATTTTTGAAGAAGCCTCAGAGTTCAGCTCTCAATTCAATGAAAGTGCCACCCTCTGTCCTTGTAGAATTGTCTAGGCTCATTCAGAACATGTCTTGAAATGACTGGCACAAACTTAAATATGTACTCAGCATTTGCACCTGTCCGGGCAGTATGTCCATTATTAGGGGCAAAGGCTGCTTTCTCATTTATAAAAAACAGTCGACTGAAAATGGGATTAATTTGGTCAATGGCCTATATGTTTAGATTGTCTATTTGGAAAAGTTAAACTCTCCTAATTTATTTTAAGAACTTTCCATTTAAAAAAATATTGTGTGCATAGGAGGTTAAGCAGATTGGAAACTACTTTCTTTATAGCACTTCTGCAAAGCACATCATAGATGAATGGTTGAGTTTTTTCACTAAAGTTTGGGAAACACCTTTATCACAAAAGTTAATCTGTATTCTTAACTTTCAGAAAAAAAGCATACAAAGCAGAATTAACAAACCCTAAATTCAAATGGCAAATTCCTTACCTTCTATAAAAGTTAATTTTAGACAAATAAAAGATAAAAATCACACAGATTAGCATATAAATAGTTCCCAATCTGTAATTGTAAATCTCGCAAATCTTTTGATGGGTAATGTAAACTGATACGTAATGTAAATGAAATGGAAAAATGCAAAATGAAAAAATTTTCACCTAAAATCTATAAAACTACACACAGTACATTAAAGTTGACAAAAGTCATGAATTCCATGGATTAAAGCATACAAACTTGCACTGCAGATGGTGCAATGAGGGAAATGAGAAAACTCCCAAACTTACAAAACAATCAGTGTCTTTAGGTCCAGAACAACCTCCAGCACATTCCCGATGGCAACAGTCACTGACATAAGGCCCGTAGCATCGTCCATCACATTGCTCTGCACACACTGTCTTTGTTACTGGAAAGGACAGAGAAACCAGCTGTGTCAGAATCAGAGCTAAAAACAAAATGATTTAAACTAATCCGAGAAATGTAATAATTATTTAAATCAGTGGTTCCCAATCTGTGGCATCGGTACCTCAGTGGTATGTGTTAACAGATTTATTATAATTACTTTATATGACAAAAATTTGCTGGCGGGACTTAATGACGAACTGAAGCATTTGCTAGTGGTACTTAAGGTTGTATCATTTTAAATTGGTGGCACGCAATCTGTCAGAGTTTGGGAAGCATTGATTTAAACCAAAGAAGGGCATAAAATTACTAACACATTAAAAAACTTAACAGACAACAGAATATTAAGAAATCAGATTGTTTTATATCACTGTCTGCAAGCCAGAGATCACTCATGCCCTCTATAATACACCTTCTGCATAAGGATGTGAAAATCCTTAGTTGATAGGATAGGCATGTCTGGGTTTCTGGAATATGGTTCTTTTAACTTTGGAAAGTCAGAAGAAATACTGAATCTTTAATCCTCAAAGAATTAGAAAAGGTTGATGAAAGAAAAGTCAATAAAATCCCTCTATTTTGATATTATTGGGTTTTAATGCCCCTCTTCTCCCCCCCTCCCCCCCATGAGAAGTTACAGGACTGGGTAATATGTAGCAATTCAGAATCAGTCTGGTAATCTTAGAACCAGATTTCATTTTTAGCTATCCTTTACCTAGTCACTATGATGAACAGGTTTAAACAGAATAAAATACAAGTCCTATACTATGAACATGTCTGGAAACATGCCACTCTAGTACTTGGCCTCCTTTCATAAATACTATACTCTAGCTTGAATCACAGAAGGCACCTTATATACTGACTAACTCATTCAGAGAGACATGAGCTTTCATAGGAGCAGCCTACTTTGTTAGATGCTGTGAATGGATTTGCAGATGCATTGTAGAATAATGACTGTGCTCAGCCATTTTAAACCTACTGACTTAGGTAGGCTTGCAGTATAGCGACAACCTTGCTGGGCAGCAGTGCTCTCAAACACACCACACTACTCTGTCTCCCAAAGCAGAAACAAAGTGGCTACATCAATGCAACACAGTTAATTGGCATAGAGGGTACTAATTAGCACCGTCATTCAACATTACTAATTAGCCCACCTGAAGAACCATGAGAATGTGTCTCCACTGCTTCCTGTTTAGAATGCATCTCCTGCAGAGCAATGCCGCATGTTTGAAGGCACCCCTGCTGTCAGAGTGAGTTTTCTGTGTAGATATCCCTCTGAGATATCCATTATCTCAATTTACAACAAGGATTCAGGTGACCCAGTGAGTTAGGAACAAACCAATTATCTTCTATTTCTCTTCATTACGTATCACCATATCACTTAAAATATAAGCTGCTGTAGCACTTACACAAGGCATGCCAACCTACAGGACAAATAATTTACAAACTGACTTCATTGCCACTAGAATTTGGTCACGTCATCAAAAAAAAAAAAAGTTTCATAGTTTCTAGGGTCAGAAGGGACCTGAGCAGATCATCTAGTCCAACCCCCTGCCATGGCAGGAAAGAGTACAGGGGTCAAACGACCCCAGCAAGGTGTTCATCTAACCTCCTCTTAAAAACCCCTAGGGTAGGAGCCTCCACCACCTCTCTTGGAAGTTGGTTCCAGACCCTAGCTGCCC